TTGAAACTGGATGTGATTTCTATTGGACGAGAGCATGAATTGAATATCCAGGGTGGAGCGAGGGGTGGATCTGTGTGTGGATCTGACCATATCTGACGAGGACCAGAGGATAGCCACGCCCCATAAAGCATATCTGGCTTTAGTCTTTATTCTAGTTTATTTGGGATTTACCAAATAATTTACAAAAAATGAAATCATGATATATCGAAGGAGACTTGAAACTTGCTATAGATACCATAAAATAATGTGGAAAATTGGTATTGAAATGATAAATCAGGTGGGAAAGTAGGGTAATTTTCTCATGGAGTTCTATAGCATTTCTCTTTCTGCAACCACTGATGTCGCCATCTGCTTGCGATTAAATAGAATGCAATTTTCAGAGATTTCTGCATGGACTTCACTTTTCAGACCTGCGTCCATCTTTTTATACAGTCTATGTATTCAATTTGTTTGCAATAATGTGGTTCCTCCATCACGCATGTAGTGAAATCTTCCCACATAAATGATTTTTGTGGGTCAGCTATATAGAAATGAAGAGCTGCTTCCCAATTTTTTAATGTCCATATCCCTCCAAGATTATAATTGTGAAGGAGGTTTTCTCCTCCTCCTAATTCAAACATGAAATTAGGAAGCTTTGCAGAGTAATATATAAAGCAATGGAGTGATTTTTATGTTAACATCCATCGCACCCTGAATATTCTTGCCAATATTGTTCTGGACCACCAATTTTAGTCAGACCTAGTCAAGTCTGGCTGAGGCTATAGTTAGACTATGGCAGTCAGCCCATGCTGTTTACATGATTACGTCTTTGTCTGACTTATGGTCTTAGTCGGATTGATATCAGACTACTGCTGTGCGTAAAGTGTAGTTATTGATCCCCAGCAACTGCAGGCTCCGTCAATAGGCTTTTGAGCATGGAGATCCTGACGGAGTCTGTGCACCAGATCCCAAAGCATGACTGATGGCGTCTTTTGTGCAAGTATGGTGCCTGATGAGGGAGCCAGTTACATTAGCAAGCGCTTTTGACGCACAACGCAAGATATTAGATGAGATGCATGCACTGCATAAACTCTACCTGCAGTAGCTTAATTCCTTTGAATGACGCAGAGCGGAGCCGGACGAGGATTCGGGTAGGGTCACGGTAAGGCCACATCATAAGCAGATCTGTTTTTGCTGAAGGGCTCATACTGTCCTGGGCCATGACCTCTAAACAATGACACAACATGGCAGGAATAATTTTGTGATTGTCTGGGTTTACTGTTGTCGAGCCCGGGATTATTGAGGGGCAGACAACCGAAGGAAGAACAGATTAGATTGATTAATGAAGAGCAGGTTAAAAATTGCTGCCTTTAAATACGATTTTTGTGACAGTCGACTAAATTGGACAGTGCTGGTAATGAATTAATCACAGTTCAGCTTCACGTTGAAAATGTGCAGATCAATAAAGCTGATGAAAAGTTTGTCAAGTGACAACATTTGCCTGTTCGATGCAGCATCCATTGTAGCTTAACTACTCTCTTTAGCTGCCTGTTAGTATGGACTGTAGTAGTCTTTTATTTAGGTGATATGATCTGCAATTTCTCCAAAAGGAGAACTGATCATCAGTTCTGCAGGCCCCAGCGAGGATTGAACTCGCGACCCCTGGTTTACAAGACCAGTGCTCTAACCACTGAGCTATGGAGCCCTGCATGATGTGCCAGGATGCAGTGAGGTTTATTAAGAACACACCCAAGGGACACAAATGACTGCCGCATCACAGTTGAGGTGACTGGAAAAACATGAGTAGAGAGGCCACGCCTATCAGAGGAGTGTCTTGTAAGTGCAAATTGTGCTCCAGCAGTTCATTAGTTGCTGCTCTGTAGTCCATGGTTGAGGAAGCTATGTTCTTTGATTCACTGAGTTTCACTGATGTGAGATTATTGTATGAGTAGTTTGGAGCAGGGTAAATGAACTACTTTACCTGGCTTGCTGGAAAAGAAGAATTTTAGTTTGCGGCGTGAAAACCTTATTGAGGTTTGGGGTAACACCTTGTTTCCGAATAGCCGGAAAGAACGGCGCTTCATTGCACCATCTATGCATATTTGATTCAATTTTATGTAGCATTGATTTGCTGCACCTTCCACCGAGGCTGTTTGTCAGTAGTGGATCGGTTACAGTCCAGAAACCTGTGATTCTCAGCTGCTGCTGAGGTGGTTTTGTGAGCCTGGGGATGAAACTGAAAACTGTTTTTCTGTCCAGGTCTAATCTGGGACGCCTCCACAAAAAAAGAACGGGACAATATGTTGTTTGCAGATGACATCACGTCACAGCGCAAACTACCGATGGGGAGCAGGAAGTGTTTTCACTATGGAGAAACGCTATCAAACTGCCAAAGTTTAGTGCTGTTGACGGCTGTGCCAACTGATCACATTGGGAAAGAAAAAGCGACTTTCGAGTCCCGAAAAGTAGTTACACTTTAAGGCGAGAAATATAGAAAGCTTCACCGAGAAATGGTGGCAGACATGGATTAAAAACCTCCATTTAAAGTCTGATGGAGCAGAGTCAGACAACACTCGTGCATGCAGTGACCGCTTCGTGAAAGGAAAGGCCACAAACATTTAGCTACTTAACTTTACATATCTGGCTAAAATCTGAAGAAATACTTGACCAACGATTCCCAACCGGCGTACTTTTCTTCCTGCCTCTCATCTGGCTTTCATGTGTCATCGGGATCACATGATTGCAAACAAGCTGTACCATCAATAAGTATTTATTTCGGTAGTAATTGTTCTTCAGGTGAATGCCTATGAAAACCTGCTTATCTCACTTTGTAAGTGCTTAGGGTCTTGGTGGAGTAAGCCCATCTGCAGTTATAGATCATTCATTGCTGGCTTTGTGAGATGAATGTCACTACTGCTATGGGGTGTGATTGATCGAATTTCGGCATTTAAAAAAAAAAGCCTGACATTATTCCAACATTCTTATGGAATAAATGATTTGAGCCAGTCATCATTAGGACAGTTGTTTGTGAAACGAGCATCATGCACCCCAGCTCTGTCGAGATAATCCTTGACCCAACAGCCTGATGTCCAAGCTTGCCAGAGGTACTTTCCATGACGATAAGAGGTCGATTGTTTCAAGGAGTCGAGTTTCAGCCTCTTTCGTCAGACGGAGTTGTCCACCAGTTGTTCCGGTGTGTTTATTGTGATACTCGTTAAATAGAGTCCCATATGGCGCCCCATAAGTTTGACTAACCTTACGCAAAGTCATTCGTCCACACTGATAGCTATGGAAAGCCTTCCTAGTGTAGCCATTGTGTATGTTGAACTGTAGCTCCTCGAACCTGGTTTTCGCTTATTATTCCTCATAGTTCAGAGTAAATTTCAAAGTCAATACTTGTAAATATAACAACAAATGATTCATTTCAGATGCCAATAGCCTGCAAAACTCAATTAAACATATGTTAGCAACATTAACATCAACAATTACATATGGTAGTAGGTTGGGGAAAAACTGATCAATCTCACCCCGGTGATTAATCTCACCCCGGTTGACGGTAAGTATTATACCTGGCTCGATGGAGGAGTAGAATCCTAGTTATTTATACAACTAGCCCATTTTTTACCCTTTATCAGTGTTCTTTTGCCAGTAACTTGTACCAGGCGGAATTTCAGCATTATGAAGTGGCTGTAAATGGACAAAACTATTTTTTGAGAATGTATGTCCTTGGGTGCCCCGGTGGCTCATTGGTCTAAGCGCGCGTACCATAATGGCTGTGTCCTTCCCGCAGCGACCTGGGTTTGACTCTAGCTCAGGTCATTTGCTGCATGTCTTCCCCCATTCTTCTCCCCAACCTTCCTGTCTCTCTACACTGTACAACTGTCAAATAAAGGAAAAAGTTCCCAAAAAATAATCTTTAAAAAAAATGTATGCCCTCGGGCACGACTTAAGACTCATTTAGCTATCTCGGGTCATAAATGTTGTGACTTTGCAGAAGCTTATCGAAAGAATGCCACGGCGAATGCATGCTGCAAGCAAAGCAAATTGCTTGTTAGTACAGATTGCAGTAGTCTTTAATGTGTTTGACTAGATATGCAGTTTTTCCTAAAATAGGACTTTTCTCAAGCCCTGGAGGCCCCAGCAAGGAATGACTTTGTGACCTTTGGTGTACAAGACCAGTGCTCTAACCACTGAGCTATGGAGCCTTGTATATGAAGAAACATTGCTTTAAGGGTTATTAAGAACACACCCTAGGAACACAAACAATGGCCACATCACTGCTGAGGTGACTGAAAAAACATGAATTTCAAGCTGGGAAGCTACACCAATCAGAGGAGTGCCTGTGTCGTGTGAAATGTGCTCCTGTTGTACATGAGTTGGTGCTCTGCAGTCCATGTACTCGATGGTAGATTCTTTGATTCACCAAGCTTCACTATAATGAGATTATTGTACAATGCATTAATTTTGGCACAATCCGAATGAAGTGCTGTACCTGGCTTGGTGGAAGAGTTGAATTCTTGTTAGATGAGAGAAAATCTCATGGAGGTTTGGGGTACCTCTTTACTGGCGAATATCGGGGAAGAACGGACCTTTATGGGTTCCGCAACTGGAACATCACAGAACCGAGAAGCAGCATCTCAATTTTAAAAGTCCTTCTCCTCCAAGCTATTTATCGTCCAGGAATTTTTGTTTTCCCCCTAAACATGCTTCTGCCTCATTGATCCCCCCTCGTGGCTGACTGTTGCTGTCTAAAGCAAGTAACATCATGTTACAACTGTTTATTCATGCTTCTGGGCATGATTTACATGTGAACATGTCCATTAAAAGCTAAATGAGCACTATTGTTCTGGATTATGTTGGACTAGTGACCTAGACCATGGCAATCAGCCTAAATTGTTTTCATGATTACGTGTTTGTGGGACCAGTGGAGGGGAGAAAATTTATTGATTTAGGCCCCCTGAGGTGTCTGCAATTGTATTTGATGGTTAACTTCTCAAAGTTGCCCTCCTTCAAAAACATGCAGGTTCCAGTAAGGATTGAACTCTCAACCCCTAGTCAATAAAACCAGTGCTCTTACTACTGAGCTATGGAGCCCTGCAACCATAAAAATCTATGCACAACTTGGTACCCTGCATCCATGTTCACTTAAATAAACAGCCTATTTCCTCTCCTCTCCTCTTTTCCTTGACCACGTTAGAAAATGTCTGGGTGGGGGAAAAGTTGCAGGGAGATTTTAAAGGTACTGTGTGGATGTCAGTCAGAATGCTTATGTGATAGTCCTTTTGGGTTTCCCCAGTCAAATATTAAGAACAAAATTTGTGGTTGCAGAAACCCCCTAAAAAACTTGTTGATAATGACATTTGTTTTTAAAGTAAAATTTAGAATTGGATCAAATAAAGAGAAAACACGTGTATATGGAAAAAGCCAAGTTGATGTGCCTTCAATTATAAGTGGTAGTCTTTCCGTAAATACTGCAGTATATTCCTTGAGTGAACTGTTTATGTGCTGTACGAGATGGTGCCATTTATTAGAAAGGTTCTTAAGAATAAACTGGATGAGACCATATGGGAAATCAAGTGACTTAATAATTATAGCTACTGGCCTTGCATCAACGGTCTAACTATCAAAGCGTCGACTGAAGTGTGCTGCTCTGCAGTTTAAGAATTTGTGTTTGGGAGAATTTCAACACCAAAGAAACCTGGAGAAATTCCACCTTTTGAACATTTTCAACATGTTAGTTTTGGTTAGCCTCTGTTGCAGATGTCTTTATGTGGTTTGCTTTCCTCCCAGACTCCCACAACAGTATGTGCATACGTAATTGGCTGGCTCCAGAAATTTAGAGCTTCTCTGAACACAAAACCCGGCTCAAGTGCGCAGACTTTGTTGTGAAAGAGAAGTGAACCACATAAGACGTTTGCAACGGACGCTAGGTAATCCGCTTATGCTGCTTTCATGGTTGTGTCTTAATCTGACAAATGGTCTTAGTCAGATTGATATCAGACAACTGCTGTGCGTGTAAGTTTAGTTATTGATCCCCAGCAATTGCAAGCACCCTTAATAGGTGTATGCGCATGGAGATCCTGATGGAGTCTGTGCCGTGGATGCTATGTAGGTATGACTGGTAACATCTTTCACGCTTATACTGGGCCTGATGAGGAGCCAATTACATCAGCAGGCGCTTCTGACATGTTACAGGAGATATTAGATGTGATGCATGCATTGCAAACACTCCACCTGCTGTAGCTTAATTCTTGAATTATGTTGGGCACAGCTGAATGAGGATTCGGGTAGTGTCACAGTAAGGCCACGGTTATCACAAGCTGATCCTTTTTAGCTGAAGGTCCTAAAGATAGACACAAAATGGCAGGAATCATTTTTTTCATTGTTGGTGTTTACAATTTTTGAGCCTGAGATTATCGAGTAATAGACAAAATAATGGAAAGGAAAGCAGATTAGATTGACTAATTCAGAGTGGGTGACTAATTGTAGCCTGTAAGCATTATTTCAGTGACGGCTGACTAAATGGGAAAGCGTTGGTAATGAATTAATTACAGCTTAGCCTCACACAGAAAATGCAACGACCAATGAAGCAAATGAAGACCATAATGGAAAAATGATCAGTCACATTTTCACATTGTGGAGAAATGATGAATTGAAAATTCAAAACAATCTTCGAAACGAAGCACAAAAAAAACACAAAAAATATAAAATATGTAAAATATTGCAATAATATATTATTATAATATTATTATTCATATTATCATAATATATAATATATAAAATGTACAAAAATGCAAAATTTGGGCTCTGATCGTTTTTTCCTTTGTGGTCGTCAAATGTGAAGTCAGTGAACTGACATTGTCTCCCTCTGACTTTCTCCTCATGACTGATTTAATTTAACCAACATTGTAGGGCCCAAATCTCAGCTGATCAATCAGTTGCATAAGTATTGTGACTCTTGATAAAATGAAGAATAAGGATTTAATGTAATAAACTGCTCAGTCCTTGTGTTTAGTTCAAGTATATGGGGAAATTACACACTGTTAATGTCAGTAAATGTATATGTGTTTAAATGGTCCATCCAGGATTAGAATGCAGAGCAGCTTTTAACGCATTAGGAAGAATAGCAGATTAAAGGTGCTATGTGCAGCTTTTTTGCATGTGTAAATGGTTGTCTGTACTGTTGTGCAAATGGACTGTAACTTAAAAACTGGCCATTCTCTACTTTCTTGGTAGCATAATATAACAGCTTGTGGACTGATTTTTATAGAGCTGCAAAAAAGTACTTGGCCCCTTCCCAATTTCTTCTATATTTGCACATTGTGACGCAAATGTTTCAGATCATTAGACTAATTTTAATATTTGTCGTTGATAACCAAAGTAAACTCAAAATTCAGTTTTTAAATGATGATTTCAATCGGTGAGGGAAAAAAGCCATCCAACCCGTTAGGTCCTATTGCCAGCCCTGTTGAATCATAACAACATGTAAATACAACCTGTATAGCAATATGAAGTTGGCAAAAAGCAGCACATGATGCCGCGATCTATAGAAATTGGTTGACATCTGCCAGTCTGGAATGGGTCACAAAGCAATTTTGAAGGCTCTGCAACTCCAGCACACAACAGTGAGAGTGATTATCTACAAATGGCGAAAACTTGGAACGGATTACAATCATGTTGTACCTCTTTACACAATACTGAGTCGTGGTGGCTGAGCTAAGTGTTGTGGACAGAGCTGGATTGTCTTTTGAGCAGCAGTAAGAATTGTTAGCCTTGCAGTTTGAGCAGGAGAAGTCGTGGAGGCAGATGGATGAGGAGGAGAGGCTTGAGTTGGAGAAGCTCAGGCAGGCAGAAAAGCTTGTGTTGGAGAGGATTCAGCAGCACACTGGGAGGATGAAGCCGGAGCTAGAGCAGTATAGCTTTCTCCGGGGATAGATGGCACTGAGGACACAGCTTCTGTTGGTTCTGCTTTAGTTGGTGTAGATGTTGCCAGCCTGTGTTTGGCACCAAACCAGCGTGTCACACCTTGCTACAAGCCTGTCCACCTGAACTTGAAAGGTGCATTTTCCAAAAATGACAAAGACCAGGGAATTGTAGGCCCCAGCAAGGATTGAACTTATGCGGGCTGGTTTACAAGATCAGTACTCTAACCACTGAGCTAGAGGCCCTACACAGTGGGTAGAAATGTCTCAAGGTTTAGAAAGAACACACCCAAGGCAAACAGACTACTGCCGCATCAGAGTTGAAGTGACTGGAAAAACTTGGTGGCTCCCATGATGTGAGCGTCTTATATGTATAAAGCATGCACCTGATGTACATGTGTTGGCACTCTGCAGTTCTTTTGCTTCCATGTGAAAGTCTGCCATTGAGGTATTTCCAGGCCAACTGTGCCACTTCTAGTCCATCAGCTGCTTGATGGTCCTTGTCTGAGATGCTGTTGTCACATAGGAGACAATTTATCAACTGCTACAGAGTGAGAATATCTCTTACTTTCTGCATGCTGCAGGTCTCTGGTATTATCTGCTGTACATGGGAGCTTTTGAGTTGTATGTAGATCTCCTGCTGTTCTTCTCCTGTTGGGTCGATTGCTCCTCTGTACCTCTGGTTGTATGTCTCGGGGTCGATGCTACATTTTGCTTGCAGTGGTCCCCCGAGATCCTAAAATGGGTTCAAGGTCTCCTCATCAATGCCTGTCAATGACTGTCATGCTTTTCCTGTCAATCGCGGAACCGAGTGACTTATCCATGCAGCACTGGGCAACTTCCACGTCCTGGCTATGTGCAAATGCAGTCAAAAATTGCCAAATTATTGATAAAAGTGAAGAATAAAGATGAAGAATAAGGGCTGCACATAGTATACCACAATTATTAATCCTTATGTTTTGTTCAAATATATGGGAAAGAAATCGGCTTTTATATCAGTTAATTTCTTTTCCTGTTTCAATGTTATGTCTAGCATTGGAATATGGAGCAGTAGCCAAAACCGCAGGAAGACTAGCAGATGGTCGCAAAGTGCAGCCTTGTTCTCAGATGTGCAAGATTTCTCTATAGCTCGAACAGTAGAATAAATGGGACTGTGGATGTAGTAAATGAATTGCTGTATTATTGCAAACAGAAAATGTACAAACCACTTAAGGCGATGAAAAGTTAATTAGCCGATACATTGAGTCAAGTTATTTTCCTCGTTTAAATGACCTTCCTGATGTTTACAAATTAGACTGAGAAAATGGAGGCCTTAGTTGAACCGAACACATCTTACTCTAGTTTCTCTGAGCAAATTGTTAAATGAACTGTTCATACAGATTGCAGTTATTTGCTTTCATGACCATCGTGTGTGGCGTTAGAGGAAGCATTAATCGTTTCCTGGACCAGGGTTTTCCTATTACTTTTTTTAAAATAATCTTGGTCTTTGGGCCTCCATGAGAATTGACTTCTTAACTGTTGGTTTAGTCAGCCAGTGCTCTAACCACTGAACTGTGATGCACCACATTACTACAGCAGAGTGCAGTGATGATTACACACAAAACAAAATGAAGAAAATCAGAGACCAAGTTCTATTCAAGTATGTATTTCATGTAACATTGAATTGTATCGATGAAAATAAGTAAACATAGCAATATATAGTATAAACAAAAATAATAATGGTTGTGCCCCGGTGGCTCGTCGGTCTGGGCGCGCGTGCCGTGGGGGCTGTGTCCTTCCCGCGGCGGCCTGGGTTTGGTTCCGGCTCGGGTCGTTTGCTGCATGTCTTCCCCCATTCTTCTCCCCAACTTTCCTGTCTCTCTACACTGTGCGGCTGTCAAATAAAGTGAAAAAACTCCCCAAAAAAAATCTAAAAATAATAATGGCTTTTTGAGAGAAAAGGTCAATACCTAGTGTGGCCACCCTTTGCTTTGATTACAACATTTAATCTTTCAGGCATAGTTTTCTTATTTTTTTACTTCGTTACTTGCTGAACCATTCCATATGGTTTGAAGTTAATTCCAAAGGGATTCTTTTAATGTTACAATAGATTTTTATCAAGCAAATCCCAGATTTTCTTAGTCGGATTAAGGTCTGGATTTTGAGCAGGCCAAGTCATAACTTTTATGTCATCAGATGTTTCTTTCCGACTGAGAATTCTTGCACAACTGAGAAGTGAGTTTAGGGTCATTATCTTGTTGAAAATAAAACCCTCAACCAATCAGTCTCTTTCCAGATGGGAAAGCGTGTCTCACGAGGATGCTGCCATACTTCTTTTGATATTATTACTAACTCCATATTTTACTGAAGGGGTTAAACAGTCATTTTTGTAACGTTCTCCAACTCTACGGTGCACTTGAGTTCTGCGTTTGAATGAGAAAATTTCAAATTTTGGTTCCTCAGTCCAAAGGGGTTGTTCTCCGTCCTTTGGTGTCTAATCCTTGAATTTCTTGTCAAACTTAAGTCTTTTTTGACGTTGCCAGCTCTTGGCAGCGACGCGACCGATCAGACCATTTTCACACAGGCATCTGGAAATAGTAGATCTTGATACTTTCATCTCTTCACTACTGGCGCTATTCATATGTGACCAGCCATGAAAAAAGGCTGGCGGGGTCAAAATTTTCAAAATTCAGTTTTACGTTATTTTTTATAGAGTGGACCTTCCTCTTCCAGAAATTCATCTGGACGCGTGTTTGCTGTATTTAAATTAACGTCATTCCAAATGGCATACCTGTCGACTCTCACGCAAATGGCTTGAGCCGCACGCTTTTTATAGCCTATTTAGCTGCCGAATGCCACTTTTTTTATCAACTACGCAATACCGAGAGTGAAAGGCAATATTTCATTGGAACGCGGACCAGTTCAATCAACGTGAAGCATTGGCCCATTAATAAGTAAATTATTTTTCTGTGCTGAATTTAGCCCATGATTTCATCGCTGTTAGATCGCATATGGAGAGAAACCGTGTCTTCAGTTGCCAATTATGATAACACCGCCCTGCATGAAATTTGCTGAGTAAGAGCTGATACCTGATTTTAAGTAATTTTGGGGCGCTGAATCCAAATATCACATGAGTTTTTGGCTATCACGTCAGGTTTTGTCACAAATCACTGCCCTTGGTATAACGAGAATCCGGTTCAAGCATAGTAAGTCCCTGCTGTTTTTCATGAATTAAACACTCCAAATCACCACCACGAAGTATTGCATCATCATGGAAAATAACCACACCCCAAGTAGCCTATGCCAATCCCCTTTTTGCCTGTTGCATGATGGCTGATTACTGTTGGTGCCTACAGAGAGACTGCCCCGAACGAAATTATTCCCATAAATCAAAGAAAAGGAAGTTTAATCCTTAGGTAAGCTGCATTTTGTTTTATTCCATCTTGCAGAATGCTTAAAATCTAACTGTGTCATTCTGCTTTCATTTATCATTGTGTATTCTTAGAGATTCAATATGAAGAAAATAATTCGCTATTTGTCAAAAAACCTGACGTGATACTCAAATTTTTAGGGCAAATTTGAAATCAGCGCCTTTGAATTATATAAAACAACACAGTTTATCAAATCAGCAGAGAAAAAGTTTCAAAATGCAGGGCGGTGTAGTCGGAAAACGTGTCAATAAAGGACAATGATTGAGAACTAGCCAGGACGAATAAAGGGACGTGTCTGTGCCCCCCCAATTCCCAGTTCTAGCTCTGCCACTGAATAATAGCCAATTTTCGCCAGTATTGAAATGGAAATTTATCGAGACACTGAGGGGATTCCACGTGACGTATATGGAGCTAAATCCCGTGGATCAGAAGCAGTTTTCCAAATGTGAAAGTAAACACAGTCCACGTGACGAGCGGGACATTTAAATTGCTTTTTTCTCAATAGCATGATCGCCGCTCGGAGGTGCCTTTTACCACAGCGGGTCACATATCATCACAGAGTTCTGCTGTCAACCGCCAATTTTTTTATTTTTTTTTGTTTTTACTTTTCATATACAGATAACAAACATCAAAGGCACTTAACTTCTGTTTTGCACCTCTGTTGCCACTAGTTTTCAGTGAACCAGTCTCTATGAACGCTTGATCGTGCCATGGCAGCATTTAACGTCTTCAGAAAATTTTCAAAGTGACCAAACAGCATCATGTATGGCCACAATTCGGCTACGAACAATCTCAGAGATCTCCTTCCGTCGTGTTTAACACTGTGGCTCTGCTCCCTTATATACTGGAACAACTGACCATCAGAGATAATTTTGCAGAATAATGTTGCCTCAGACCAGTTTCCACAAAATTCTTGGCATCAATAATCATGGAATGAGCCTTCAAACATGCATTCATCTGTCAATTCTTATGAAAAAAGTGATGTTTTCACTGTTTTTGTTTACTACCCATATTTTTACATCAATATACTTGTGCAAATGATTTTTTTTTTGTTCTCATTGCCTCTTATCGTGTTTTTCAATACATTTTCCCCAAAAATTGTAGAGAAGTTATACAGTGCCGTGAAAAAGTATTTTCCCCCTTCCTGATTTCTTATTTTTTTGCATATTTGTCAAACTTAAATGTTTCAGATCATCAAACAAATTTTAATATAAAACAAAGATAACCCGAGTAAATACAAAATGCAGTTTTTAAATGATGCTTTCATCTATTAAGGGGAAAGAGCTATCTAAACCTACCTGGCCTGATGTGAAAAAGTAATTTCCCCCCATTCTCAAATCATGAATTAACTGTGATTAACCGCATTTTTTGAGTCCAATTTCACTAGCCACACCCAGGCCTGATTACTACCAGACCTGTTGAATCAAGAAATCACTTCAATAGAACCTGTTTGACAAAGTGAAGTAGGCTAAACGATCTCAAAAAGCAGCATGTCATGCCGCGAACTAAAGAAATTCAAGAACAGATGAGAAACAAATAAATTGACATCTATCAGTCTGGAAAGGGTTGCAAAGCCATTTCTAAGGCTTTGGGACTCCGGCGACTCACGGTGAAAGCCATTATCCACAAATGGAGAAAACTTGGAACAGTGGTGAACCTTCCCAGGAGTGGCCGGCCAACCAAAATTACTCCAAGAGCGCATTGATGACTCATCCAGGAGGTCACAAAAGAACCCAGAACAACATCTAAAGAACTGCAGGCCTCACTTGCCTCAGTTAAAGTCAGTGTTCATGATTCAACAATAAGAAAAAGACTGGGCAAAAATGGCATCCATGG